ACTGTCCATGCAGTATATTCCAGGAAACCCAAATTGCTGGCTCTGAAAAGAAGCGAGCCAGTGAGGGTGACATTTCTGCAGCCAGGACCAGGCCACATGGCCAGCTCAGCTATGTTCTCAGTGGTGCAGGAGCTGCTCTTTGCTGCCCTTAAGGATGAAGTGACAAAGGACAATTGACATAGACATCATGTCACTAGAAATCATGCTCAGTCTAAACTACCTGTTTTGACAGGTAAATGGGATAGGGAGTAAGACAGCAGATGTGATACTCTTTGGCTTTTGCAAGGTTATTAACTTTTCTGATACAATGTTTTCATAGACAGTTCTCAAAATATACAAAATTTGGGGCTAGGTGAAATGCCATAAATGAGTTGCACAGTATTATCAAGAAATGTAATTATCAGTCATTAGTTATAAAGCTGGAAAGAAATCTATAGGGTCCTTCTGATAGGAGTGCACTTGGGCTCTCTTCCAGTCAACATTTTCCTTGACTATTTTTATGACGAATACATGAAAAATCTTGCGGATGTATCAACCTAAGATGGCTTTCAAGACTTAATTTTCTGCTCTATAATACAACACGTGGCAAAAGAACCTAAACGAAACTTATCTTGATTCCATTTTTGTGTGTTTTGCAGCACAGGAATCGGTGTTTGGTCTAATGAAGGCTGCGTGCGTGAGAGTGGGGACCTCAACTACTCAGTGTGTCTCTGTAACCACCTCACTAACTTCGCCATTCTGATGCAAGTAGTCCCTCTAAAGGTGAGATTAAGGAGTAAATCTGTCCAAAAAGCATAAATACATCAGATGCATCCACAAACCACATCAGTAAATGATTGAAATTGAGCTCATTTTTGCCCAATCAAATTTATTCCATGTCTTGCTTTCTGGGGTGTTTTTTCAATACTTCTTGACTATGCATTCTAAAACTTCTGCAAACTGAAATGGAGCATGAAATGAAACACATTGGATGTAGGTGGAAATCCTGAGGCGCTGGACTTTATTCTCACACTTCTGGCATGATTTTTTAAAGTACTGAACAGGCAAAGCACTGGAAGTCATGATGGGCAGATGGTTTCAGGATAAAGGAAAGACTAGAAGATGAACTAATAAGTACCTCCCCATTCTGTCTCAAAAAATAAAAAATAAAAAAACCTTGAAACAGCTGAGATATGGTTGTTTAAGCCTAGATTTTCGATTTTTTTTCTACAAATTTTTTACAGTGATGTTATATTAGTTCTTTAACTTTAGAATGTTTTATTTTTCTTTTCATAAATATTTCACACATGTGAAGTTTCACACAGAATATTAGATGTGAAAAGAGAGAGTGGGAGAAATGGGTGCATCTGCCCATATTTGAATAGTTCTATTTAAACAGCTATCATATATTTGTGGCCATATAAATAGACCTGGATTAAAATTTTCCATGTGAATAGTATTTCTGATTGAACATATACTTTATGTCTACTTTCTTTTTTTCAAAAAGTGTTGTTTTTCACGGAAAATGATAGTAACTTATTGCAAATAGAATGTCTAGAAATTGGAGAGCTTATAACCAAAAACAATATTTTGATTTAAAAAGGTGAATTTATTCTTCATGGGAATTTGTACTTGTGGTGCATTCTCCTCCTGTGGAACGTAGCATTTCCCTTTCTTTCCATCTTACTGGCAAGAACAAATGTCAGGATAAAACATACATGCAGACCTCCTCTCCAAGGGCACTATGAGAGCCATTAACATCATGCATTACTTTTTTTAACACTAACAACAGGCAAAAGTCTTACCATGTTTTGCAGAATGGCAGGCAAATGCGTAGAGAGTATTAAACAAAAGCAGGTGGAGGATCATGGATGACTCCCAAAGATACATGAGGCAGAGCAGCTTGTATATAGTAGCTTCAGACCAGGGAAAGCATCAGAAGAAGACAGAAATGGATGTGGAAATCCATGAGTGCTGGAGAGCAGTTCATCATGGTAGGTGGTCTGACTTTCCCAGCAGAAGCTTTCCAGGAATGACACACTGCAGGTATTTCAGGAGACAGTTGCTGTTCACAACTGGAGAGCACGAGAGACTCTCCGAGTTCAGACAACACCAAGGCATTTGTAAGCAAGAAACACCAAGCGTAAGTGACGTTCCCCAGAAGCATCCTGCTGCTAAAAACATCTGGCAAGTGATTCTAATCGTCACAGTGCTGAGCTTGTAGGACAAGCGTTTTGTCAAAGTGGGGACTTTTTCTTCTGACTTAGGCTAAATTTGAGTGGGAAGTGGAATCGGCTTTGCATGAGTGAGTACTGCAAATAGTAGTGAAATTTGCCTCGTGTTCTTTCCAGGGTGCATGTGTGGAGTTCGGGGTAGCTGCAAAATGATGTTTTTGAGCTGAAGACAGAGCTGTCTTGAGGGGCAATATCTTCTAATGGGCCCATTTCCCCACTGTGGTTTCATCAATACTGTCCCTTAAAAATGTTTATTTTAGTAAAAACTGAATTAAGAAAAAGAAAAGATGCTTTTTAAAATTTCCCCCCAAGGTATATCATTGATGTTTTAGATTCCAACACAATAATAGAAAGAAAAAGACTCCCTCTTCACACATACTATAAAAGCGTTCTAGGGCTATTCTCAGCCTTGAAAGCACATGCTTTATTCTTGGCCCTATGCAGGCTCATATTTTCTTAGTATATAAATGTTTTTAAATTATATGTTTCATTGTGACATGCCCATAGTTAGAAAAAAACTCCTTGGTTATCATCTTCTCTTTGTCCCCTGATGTGGTCAAGTCTGGCTTTTTTCACTTGTGTAAAAATAGCATGATCCAAACACTGTCACTTTTGATACACTTTGAACTGCCATAATATCTCTCTTTTTTGTTGTACTGGTCCAGATCATTTTCACCTCTTCACCAACATTCAGCCAAGGGAAATTTCTCTCTGTATATATATTTACATAGTTTGTGTCATGAACATAAATGACTTCTTATTTTCTGAAGATCTTTTATCATTGCAATTTCATAATAAGGTAAAGATCTAGGTTAATAACTTATGCATCAGGCTTGGAGAGAAATTAAAATGCCACCTATGGAATTTATTTTGCTTTAGCGTGCCATTTATAGGAACAGTGTTATAGGATGTCAGGCATATGACAGTGCTTCCTCTTGAAAACTTGAAATATTGTGAAAGGAAGAATGCTGACAAATTGTTGCTTTTATGGGGAGACTGTCTGGTGAGCCCAAGAATAGAAACACAAGAAGGCTGATAGGAACAAGCTGTGAGTTCTTGATTTTTCTGCTCCAGCTTTACTCAAATATAGCTGCTGTTCTACTATGTGCCAGGTGTAAATAGTCTCCAGAAACTGAAGTCTGCTTAGACAGAATAGCACTTTAATTCCAATATTTCAGAAAAAGAAATTGAAAGAAAGAGATCAAGAAGGAAAATGTAAATGCTGGAAGTTTAGCTTAAGGATGACAAAATGGGTATACATCTCTGTGCCCTGTACAGTGGTTTGCTGGAGAAGAAGGTCTGCGAATTCTGTGAATTAGCTAAAACTGAGCTTGAATGATAAGTGTGGCTGAAAGCTATTCAGTATTTTCTGTTTGTTTCAGCAACAGCTTGAACGCACTCAAGTCACCCTGATTGCAAAAGAGGAGTGTTAACAATACTGCTGATTAGCTTGATATCAGCATATGCAGTCTAGCTGCCTTAATTGATAAAGGGAATTTGCAGTTGTAACGAGTTTATTTCGGGAATAACAATGTTGGAAAAACTTATAACCATGTGGAGCTCAGATGTTAGACTGGCACTGATCTGTTACCCTGCCAATGAATTTGCCTTCGTGGAGCGCCAAAATTATTTGCATCTTTTTCACTCTGCTGTTATATCTGTATTTGGCTGACTCAAATTTGGGTTTGTTCGCTGAGACTTATTTATCAGGCAGGTTTTAAGCTGAGGAAGGTAATAACATTTTCTTGGAGTTTTGGAGATTAGTGATTGTCAACTGATTTTATCAATTTTATCAGATCCAAGGTAAAATGTCATCAAAGATGGGCAAAGTTCTATAAGCGACAAATTCAGCCCTGTAATTAAGGTCACAACAGAATCAGAATTTAAAACTTACTTGGGAAGTCTTTTCACACAAATCTGATGAAGCTACTAAGACTTTTATATATGCACCACAACCCACCCCATTTTGCAGCAAAATGTGTCCATGGGACGTTTTGAGCAGCCGTGCAGATATTACCTAATCCATCTGGCCCTTCTTTGGGAAATTTGTTGGTCTTTCCCTTCTTTTTGTAGGGGAAACTGAGGTAGAGACAAAAAAAGTCCTGCACAGCAAATAAGTCATGTCTGTCTTTCCCCTTGCTTGAGATGCAAAATTACATTCTTGCTTTCATCCCCTCGGTGCTTGCTGCCAGCAGCACCTCCTGCAATACCAGCTGCCCTGCAATTTTATAATTAGGAAGACAATGGTGTATTAATATAGCTGCGGTAGGAAAAACAAATAATCCATTTAGTGTGATGTGTTTGTACTAGGTTATGTTTGTTTCTTCTGGAGCAAGCCCAAATGCAGGGCACCCAGGGTAACCTGCTCCATGGGGCGGTTTTATTGAAGTGCTACTGTACGGTACAGGCACCCAGTTTGCAGCAGGTTTGAACCCTGGGTAGGAGCAGATGAGGATTGGAGAAAAGTTCCCTTCCTTATGGCTCTTTTGCATCCTCTACTCTCACACGTCTAGGGAAATCTCAACCTGCAACGCATCTTCCCAATGGTACCTTCAAGCAGCAGGGAAAGCAGTTAGTGGAGAGAGAAGGTAACTGTGCTCGAAAGTCCTTAAACACTCATTAAATCAACACGTGAGAGATGAGAAGGATGTTTCTCTGGAGTGGTCAAGTGGCTTTCACAAGGAGCTTCCTAGATAGCAGCAAAAACCGGCAGAGAGGAAGCCGCATTCCAGGAGCTCTCCAAGGAAAATTCAGATGCTAGGATTTTGCTTCGGGCAGCTTTACTCCTTCTCCTCAGTCCGTGGGGCTCTGTGCTGCTGCCAGGAAGCATTCCAGCCATCTGGCAGGTTTTATTTCTATAGTGATCCAAGTACAAAGTGTGCCAGGCTATGTGTGCCATCTGCCACCTAAGTGCCATGTCAGTGAAAGGATGGTGGACACCTAGTTCAAACATATTTTTAAAGGAGAAATCACTCCCTACAGCAAAACTGAGCTTGGATTTTCCTTATTTGTTCCCCAAGTGATTAATGCAAGACACAACAGTAATATTCATGGCTCTGAGACTATACGCTTAAGTTGTTTTTTCCTGAGGGACTTAGCTCTTTCTAACTCTTCCTACTGTAAAGGTGTAAAAATGGCTATTGTAAAGTTCACTTGTGGATGAACATTTCCAGAAAAGTGCTTATAAAACACATGGCTGCAGCAGAACTGCTTTGAATTCTTTGTCCTTTTAATATTTCCAGAATTTTCCCATTTTCTACCTGGAATTAGAGTCCGGAACAATGACCGCAGCCCTGGTGCTTCTCCCATTGAGGCGATGGCCCATGGTGGCCCAGGGGCAGGGCCACTGGCCAGTTCTACTTGCCATGTCCAGGGCTCTCTGCTAAGGAGCCATCCAAGGCAGTCATTTCTCCTGCCCATTCTCTCTTGTGGGGATTCAGCACTTCATGTTGTTCTGAAAACCCAGCAAAAACCAGGGTATCTGTAAGTAACCCAAACTAAAGGGTTGGATTAGACTATTTACTTAATTTGCAAGCATTTTGAGTAAAC